GAGATGATTGCATCAATGAGATACATTCGTCAGATGAACGACATGACGAAACAGTTAGCGATGGATGCTCTAGAAGTGGCCCGAAGGTCCAACAATGGTGATACGTAAGTGACCTTTGAATACAAAATGGATCGGGAAGGCTATATAGAGTGTGATGAGACGATATTCTTCAGGCATATGTTGCTTGTGCACCTAAAGATTTGCAAATATCAACGCTCCCCAGACCACCGGGGTAATTTCTGATTCATGCGCATAATTTAAACTCCAAGTCTTTTTCTAACAGCGTCACATACGGATTGAATGCGTAAATTTGCAAACGGCTATGAAGATTTTGCGAGAGGTTTTTGATTTTTTTAAAGAGAAAATTTCAAATTCCAGCAAATGTACACGAGATGAGTCTTGATCAAAACGCTAACATCTCCTCCAAATGTCTGCGTTAAAAATTTCAATGTGAGAAGCAAACTAGTAAGATTATTGAGGACAACCTAGCTCTATAAAACCGCAATAAGTAGAGAGGGATCCGACAATTATATGCCATATGCATAGCATATGAATGCAACGAATAAGAAAAAAATATTGATTGACACTGATTCCTAAGGAAAAAAATGAAAGATTTTTAGTGCATAAACGATCAACACCTTGTTTTGACAGCATTCAATGCCTTCCTACCTCTCTCTCTATTTTCGTACTTGGCAATACGTTCTTCCTTGTACTCGCTGAGTAGTAAGCGAGTTGCGTGAACAATCGCTTTTAGAAATCTGTTCGTTTGTTCATGGGCTTATGAGATAACTGATAAGTTTGAATTTATTGGACCTCAGACTATAATCGCATCTGTAGCACTCCTCCATAATTCCGGTAGTTAGCGTAAGAACTAGATGAGCATTTATCATTTCAGATTTACTACTATTTTTTCATAGCACCTACAACTGACTATCTTTGTTTCCGATTTCTTTTACATTCCAGAATTTAGAACTTCGGTTATAAATTTTATATAGGTCATTAGAGGCAATAAATTTTGACCTTTTTAAACATTATTTAACACTATTCAGCGTAGTTAGCGAAAAATATTCAGATTCATAGTGCCTCACGAAGTAACAGGTATCTTTTCATCCTTTTACTCATGTTTTTCGTAAAGGAAAGTTTTCAACTAAATTTCCGCAAATGCAAACATTAAGTTTTCAGTTCTACTGAATGAGCGGGTTACACTGCTTGA